TTGGACCATGCCCAACAGTGCTCAGTGGCTATTCCTAGATCTGTGCTTTGGGGTCATTCCTAGTGGTGGTCAGAAGGATCATGTGGTATTAGGGATTGAACCCAGCAAGTTCTGAGTATTTTTGTTTTCCTGGGCCACACCCAGTTATGCTCAGAGCTTACTCCTGGCTTTGCACTCAGAAATTACTCCTGGCAGTGCTCAGGGGACCATATGGAATATTGGGGTTCAAATCCTGGTCAGCTGCATGCAAACCAAGTGCCTTACACACTGCACAATCTTTCTGGTCTCTTAAATTAACATTTTTTTTCTTTGCTTTTTGGGTCACGCCCAGTGATGCACAGGGGTTACTCCTGGCTCTGCAGTCAGGAATCACCCCTGGCAGTGCTTAGGGGACCATATGGGATGGTGGGAATCGAACCTGGGTTGGCCGCGTGCAAGGCAAACACCCTACCCGCTGTGCTATTGCTCCAGCCCCCTTTAATTAACACTTTTTTTTGGCTACACCCAGAGGAGCTTAGGGGTTACTCTTAGTACTCGAAGGACCCTGTGGTGCTGGGGATTGAACCCAGAGGCTGACTTTTGGTTTTGGGTCATGCCTGTCAGTGCTTTCACTAATCCCAGCTCTGTGCTCAGGGTTCATTCCTAGTGGGGCCTGGAGAACCATATGCAGTGCTGGGAATTGAACCAAGGTCTGCCTGCAAGGCAGGCACCTTCACCTTTTTACGATCTCTCTGGCTCCAACCAGGCCTGTTTTATCAGCTGTTCCTGAACTGGGTTTAACTGACAGAACTCATGGAGGGTGAGTGGAGAGTTTGCTGACAGGAAACTGCACTTCAGAGTCTGAGCTTGTTGTGGGACTGAGTAGGAAGCTGTTTGGACTCCAGAAGTAAGTGGCAGAGATGGCTTACTTCCCGGGCTGGGATCAGGACACTCTGTAAATGGCAGGAAGCTAACTTTTTTATTGTGAAGGGCACTAAGGAAGCCACAATCTGGGGGAGGGAGCCAGGCAGTGCTGGGGTGCAAAGGGAAGGGCTTGTGCCTTGTATGCATGGGTCCCAGGATTCCAAGCAGGTAAAGGGTAGAAACTCATGCTCCTCCACCTCCACGCCCCCCCCCTCCCCCGTCAGCACTCATACATGCTGGTTACTCCCAGGTAGGTGGTGAAGACCTCTAGCTCTGAAACCTGGCGAATACTAACTCATTTACTCATGTGACGGTGGGCAGTTTTCACTCCTAGCACCCTGGCATGTGGTTGGTGGGGCACAGCATACAGGAGCAAGCCTGGCGTTTTATCAGAAAGTTTGGTGAGTCCTCTCCTCTTGCACTTATGGCAAGTTTGTAGAGAACTATGGATGGGAGAGGGAGGTTTCATTTCCTTTCACTGATAGAAAAATTATATATACTATGACATACATTCTACTAAGGCATTTTTTGCTTTTTGGGTCACACCTGGCGATGCACAGGGGTTACTCCTGTTCTGCACTCAGAAATTATCCCTGGAGGTGCTCAGGGGACCATATGGGATGCTGGGAATCGAACCCGGCTTGGCTGCGTGAAAGGCAAACGCTCTACCTGCTGTGCTATTGCTCCAGCCCCTAAGTTTTTTTTTAAGAGACTGATTTTTTTACCATACCCAGCAGTGCTGGTGGGATTTGGGGTGTTACTCCCTGCTCTGTGCTCAGAACTTGATTCTGGGGGGTAGAGCAATAGCACAGCGGGTAGGGCGTTCGCCTTGCACGCAGCTGATCCGGGTTCAATTCCCAGCATCCCATATGGTCCCCTGAGCACTGCCAGGAGTAATTCCTGAGTGCAGAGCCAGGAGCAGCCCCTGTGCATCACTGGGTGTGACCCAAAAACAAAACAAAACAAAACAAAAAAGAAATTGATTCTGGCTGTGTTGGGGGACCAGAAAATGAATCAGGGCTGGCTGCATGCTGGGTAAGTGTCTTCACTCTTACACACTTTCTCTTCAGCCCTCTTAGAGAATTTATTTTTGGATCACACTCATCAGACTCTGTTCTGACTCATGGCTCTGAGCTCATGCATCACACCTGGCAGTGCTCAGAGTATCACATGTGGTACAGGGACTGAACCAGGGTTGGCCACATGCAAGGCAGTGCTTTAATCCCTGTACTGTCTCTTCGGCCTGCTAGAACTAAAAAAAATCTCAGGGGCCAGAGTGACAGTACAGTGGGTAGGATGCTTGCCTTGAATACAACTGACCTGGGTTTAATCCCTGGCATCTCATATGGTCCTCTGAGCCCAACTATGAGTGATCCCTGAGCACAGAACCATGAATAAGTCCTGAACTTGAACTATCAGATGTGGCCCAAAAACAAAAATAAAAATTCAGCACAGGGTTAAGATGCAGAAATCAAGGTTTGCGTGTATGTTGGGGGAACAGTAAGGACGGGGGGGGGGGGGCGGGCAGGAGATATCACAGCAATTAAGGCACAAAACAGGCACACACCCAGCTGAGGGTTTAATTCCTGCAACTATTAGTCCCATGAGCTCAGCCCTGGAGGTACCCAAGCAATGCAGGCTGTGGCAACTGGATCCCCAGCACCTCAAAGCTTGAGCAATATTATATCCTTGGGTCCTTGCACTAAACCCCTGGCACAGTGGCTGAGAACTGCTGGCGAAGAACCTCCCACCGGCCCCCCCAAAAAAAAAACCAGAATAAGCTTGTCCAGGGATATAGTTCAGCACTAAAGCACTTGACTTGCATGTGAGACCCTGGATCCAATCCCTGGCACTATACATGAACTATTAGGTTTTAAAACCTTCTCCTTCATTTAGTACTAGCCAAATTCCTGTGAATTAACATTTATCCCCATTTTACAGATAAAGAAAACAGGGCTCAGAAAAGTAAAGCTAAAAGACACAAAGCAAGTGGTAGAACCGGGATTGCAAGCCTTCTAAAGTACAAATTCAGCACTCTTTGCAATTCATACGAGAATTTCAAGTTCACCAAGTCCTGAGCCTACATTGTTTGGACATGTCTGAAATGGCATTTCAGGAACCCAAAGTGGATGACCAGGTTAGAAACATGGTTAGATGAATGCAACCCTTTGCAGCGCTTGTGGCTGCTCTGAAATAATTGTCCTTGGTTCATGGGGGCACAGGTGCCATAGGCTGCCCCGCTCTGACATGTTTAAGAAATCTTTTATTGGAAGATATCCCAGAAGGCAACATTTTAAAATCAGGCAATCAATAATCACAACTAAATACAAAATTTCAGGTAAACTCGCCTTTCAAAATAAACCAAACTCTTGCAACAGGAGAAGTGCCCAAGAGTTTTTTTCTTGTACAAAAAACAATTAACACCACTTTGCAAAAGGCATACAAAAATACAGTATAAAAAAACCAAAAAGACTGCTCCCAGCAAAATCCCCACCAGCAGCTTACAAAACACAAGCTATTCAGGCCAGGCAGCAGTGACTACATCATCCCACTTGTTCTCCAAAGAGAGTTCCAGAAGTCAAGTGGCTCCTGAAAACCATGCTCGAGAAGGTAGAAGGATCTTTCCAAACTTCCTGTGAGGTTTGCCGAGTCCAAGAAGCAACCTCAGAAACAGACAACGTGCATCAAAATAGCAGCTGGCTGGCCACAGATGGTAGCGCGCAGACCTACCATCACCGCTGACTGACTTTCAACCCCCAGTTGGCAGGCATCTGCCCCCCTGCACAGACTTCTGGAGGGTCACTCCTTCACCCAAACCAGGCCGAGGGGCTCTTGAGGTTGCCCCCATAACACCAGTTGTGTTGGATGCCTTTCCCGGATTGGAAGCTGCAGCTGGAATCCACTTGGAGGTGCCAAGTTCAGCTGGGGCAAAATCCATCATGGTCCACTAAGTAGAAGGTCCTGGAAGCGCCTTCCAACTCTGCTGGGCAGCAAGGCCACCTTCTGGAGTCCTGGATGAGGCCCAGTGGCTCTCCTACGAAGCACTTCAGAAAGACCCACATTTTGCTCATGGGGCTGGATGCCTGTCAGGCTGGTAGCACCCAAAGATGACTGTTGGGTCAGTCAGCTCCTTGGCATTGCAGGGGGTTGGGATTACGACGACGATGTTCTGGGAGAACATCTGACTTATGAAATGGACCAATCAGAGATGCAGATGAGGAAGAGGAAGCGGCACAGTCCTCTCCCCTGAGGTGCCTGACACGTGCCTGCCTGGAGAAAAGATTCCAAGATGGGTCTTAAGGGCCCTTCAGAAAAAAAGCTGGGCAGGAAACAAGATCGATCACCAGGCAGGATGGCAAGCCTTTCCCTCTGGCCACAGGCTGGGACTCATTTCCCCGGGCCTTGGGGAACTCTTTCTGACCTTTGGGGAAGGGGTGCTATGTTGAGTCCACTGTAGAACAAAAGGAAACAAAACGGTTCCTTGTGGGACAGAAATGCTCTCTCAGAGGAAAGAGCCCCCAAAATGGAGCGGCCCGGCTCTGCGTTCTCAAGGTCGTGGCTCTGAGAGGGGAGGAGGGGCAGCCTAACACCACTATATATATATATATACATATATATATATATATATAATGTTTCCAACTCCTCAGCTACTGTAAAGTGTCCGACAGTGAGGTAATGGTCCATGTTGATCAAGTTTGCGAGCTTGTCTTCACCCAAGACAGCTCGTGTGTCTCCTGGAAAAAGGAGCCTCAGGGAGAGCATCCAGGCCCAGCTGTCCTAGCATCACCCCAGAGACACCACCGGGAGGCTCCTTCCCGGCCCTGGAGTGTGCGATTTCACAGGCGGGCTGCGGCCCCCGAACAACGTCCACCACCTGTTGCATAGCATCTGTCAGGCTTGTCTTCGGGCTGAGAGCATGCGCCGAGGCTGGGGAGGCAGACCCCAAGTCTGCCTTGGCAGACCTCAGTCAGCTGCCAACTGGGAAGCCACCGGCGCCTAAGAAGACACCGACTGCCTTGCTGGCTGTCAGGGTTCGCCAGCATGCAGAGGCCCTCACGGTGTGCATTACGGCTGCCCCGTATCCCCGAAGGGCTGCATTCCGGGAACCAAAATGTGCAAATTACTAAGGGGAAGGTTGAAAATGAAACCCGGGTCTTTGTGAGATGGAGCAGTCAGGCTTCGGGTCAGTCAGTAGCCACTGAGGTACGCGAGTCTTTTCTGCAGTTGCTGCTGTCGGCATCGGAGCTGCCTTTTCTCCGATGCCATCCTCTTCTCGGCCCCCACCAGGGCCTGCAGGTACTCCAAGGCCTTGCTCAGGATCACAACTTTGGGGGCCTTGGAGCAGCTAGCCAGCGTGGGAACCTGGTCCCGCAGGGCCAAGAACCTGGAGCGGAGGTCGTTCCGGCGTTTGCGCTCCAGAAAGTTGTGATTCTTCCTCTTGGTCACGTCCTCCGTGTCGGAGCTGACAGGTTTGGGGTGGCAGGTCGGAGGAGCCTCGCTTTCTAGTGGCGGGGGACTCACAATCTCTTCGTCCGCTTCTTCCTTTTCCTGGGGCTCTTCTTTCTCCACAGCCTCCTCCTCCTCCTCCTCCTCTTCCTCCTCCTCTTCCTCCGGCGGGGCCCTCTCTGGGGCCGGGGTCTGGGAGGAGGAGTTTTCCGGGGGAAAGCGGGCGGCGTAGTTGTGCTGCTGCTGGTGGATGGAGATGTGGAAGTGTTTCATGCAGGGGTCTAACGGGTCGGCACGCACCGTGATGGTGACTGGCTTGCGAACACCCAGGGACTGTCTCTTCTCCACGGTCACCACGTCAATTTCTTCCCCCTCTGGCCAAGAAGAGAGAGCAAGAAAAGAAGCACATCCCATGAGAAACACAAACTCAGCACTCGATGTGGGGTGGGGAGCGGGGGGAGGGGGGACTTGGGAAAGGAGGTGACATTTTCCCAATCTGACATAAATAAATCGAAGCCAGGAGCCGGACAGCGGATGCATTTGTAACGGGGCTATAGCCAGGGTGAAGGAAAGGAAGGGAAATAAGCAAGAAGGAAAATATTCTCCAATTTCCTTTTGTACAGCCAGGCTTAGATAAGAACAAAAGGCAGACCCAAGCCAGCAGCCCCCGTCTGAACAGGCTCTCCCCTCCCCCACCAAAGGGATGGAGAGAAAGAGCTATTGGCCTGGGACAAAGTTTAGCTATAAAGATCTTCTCCAGTCGGGCTCTTTCATGCCCCATCAGAATTGTAAATGAGGGGTCTGTGGGCAGAGCTGCCCTTTGTTCCTGCCCAGCACAGCCTGCACTTGGGGAATTGTTACTTTTCACAAGTTATAAATCCTATTATTCCCCCACCTCTCTATTCTGCCACTCCTTTCAGCTAGAGATTCAGAGAAGGGAAGGCTACAACCCATCCTTCCTGACCCCCAGAGGAGAGGGAGACCCTTTCCCGTAGGAGCATTTTGCTCCCGGGTTCAATAGGTTTCTAAAGTCATCCATCATTTATAGGTCGCTTGCCCCACCCCCTTCCCTGGACTAGCCGAGGGTGGGATCTGGATTTTCTGGTAGGCAAAACGCAGCAACTTCACAAAGGTACCAGCGAGAGCGTTTCCAAGCTACCTGTGCTGAGCGCAGGAACTGAGCAGCCGGGATAGGTTCTGGGCAAAGGCCAAAACCCCAGAGGCCTAAAGCTACCTGGATGTGCCCACACCATTCCCTGGCTTGGAAGGTCTCTCAGGTTACCTCAACCAGGAGAGAGGCATGGGGGGGGGGGGGGAAATCTTCCTGTTTCACACAATTTGCAGCATCCTCCCTCCCCCAGATAAAGGCAACCTTTATGCATTTCAGTCTGACAACAGAGGAGCTCAGTTCTTTGGTCTCCTTTGCATATCAGGATGCTTGAGCGCCTTTGTCAGGAAGCCTTCCATTGTGTGGACAATCGCATTATTTCTCCATTAATAAAACCTGACCATTCAGCCCTCCTGGCCCCAAAGCTTGCGATTGGCCGGCTATGCAGTGTTTGGAATGCAGTTTCACCCAGCCCCTAGCCTCTATTGGCTGAACCTTGCCGTCAGTCACTCTCCCCACCCCCCTCATTGTTTGCAATCTGTTGCATTTTGTTCTGGGCCATGTGGCCTGTGAGTGAACCAGGAGCTTGCAAACAGGTTCGGGTTAAAGGGCAGGTCAGAAAATGAACAGTGGTTTCCTCACATCCCAAAACTTTAATATTTGTGTTAGAGCTCACGATTGGGAAGTCTTTGCTGAAGAAAGAAATAACAGAAGACACTATTCTCCTTTTCAGAGTGATGGCTAACTGGCTAACTCTCCTCAGACAAGGAACTGCCCTCTCTGATTGACAACCAAGTCCAACCCCCCGCGTGCAAAGGGAGAAACTGAGACACACACCAGACAAACTGACACACATCCTTTTCAGGATATTCTGGGTCTCAAATGAAGCTCTCTATACTGCTAAAACAATGTTCTTTCCTCTCTACCACTTCTTGAGTCTTGGCAGAAATACACCTGTATGGGTTTCTTGATATTAAAAGTTCCCATTCCAGCCATTAAACACAAGTTAATGATGTAAAAGAAGCAGGTAGATTAAAAAACAACAACAAAAAACCCTTAACAGAATGAACCAGCAAAGAAAAAGTGATTTTAAATTTTTCTTATTATCCTTACTTCCCCCTCAAGTACATGACCACATGCATAACCCATCCCAAGTTTCTGCTCACACTGTCCTATAAATTAAGAATTCTTAAGAGCTACAGTGAATGTCCTCTGTATTGCTTTACTTGATGCGAGCCTCAGTCTGTTTCTTATAAAAGAACTCTCTGCAGTGCCTCGGAGTAGAATAGTCCAAGAGGTGAGGCTAAGAACTGGAAGTCTGCTCTCAGTGAGCTTCCCCTGGGTTCAGGGACGGACAGGGGAGCCTGAGCTTTGTAGAACTGGCACGAGCACCTAGCCCAGAAGTATAGGCGCCCCTGAATATTTGTTGACTACAAGGAAGAAGCTAAGGCTCTCTGATCAATTGGGAGGGAGCTTAAGGGTCACCTTCGTACCTTAGGTCCAAGCAACAAGGTATGGTGTAACCCTCCTCAGATAAGCTTCCATGAAGACCCTTTAGACACCCAGATAGAAGCGTCTGGGGCAGGGAGGGCTTGGGAAAGGCGGTCGATGACTAGCTAAGAGGAAGCTGGGGTTTATTTCTGGTGAGCTGCTACTTCCAAGCCTCAATATGTCCATCTGTGAGTGGGAACGCTGGTTCATTCCTCCACTCCCTGTCTGAGTGTGGATGCACAAGTGGGAAAAGATGGGAGGTGCCAAGGAAGGACTTACTGGCACATCAGGTAAAGCGGGCAGGAGACCAGGTTTTAAAAGAACAGCTTTGGTTTGTGCACAGAAAGACTCCTCGGCTTCTTCGCTTCCCAGGGGAGAGTGAGTTTCCCAGGGAAAGAGGGACGGATGAAGCAAGCCTGGGGTGACCTTCCAGGGACCCCTTCGGCCTCCCCAGGAGGAAATCCCCTGCACTCAGGTCCCAGCTCAGCCCTCTCTCTCCGGGCAGGCGGGCGAGCGCCAAGCCTCTCCCAGTCTCCCTAGTCCCCTGGGGCTCCAGTCCTCATCAAAGGGACGCTGGCTCCCACGCCACTTCTCCGAATTGTTTACTAACACACCCACGTGCCAGACAGACACCGCTGGGGGCTACACCGGCAGCTCCGGCCCGAGGAGGGGGGAGGTGATGAGAGGCTGCCGAAGACCCAGCGCTTGACCTCCGCCGGTGGCAAGGCTCCGGCCACCCACGGGGCGATCCTTACCCGAGTCGCTGGGGCTCTCGGACCCCGAGCACGCCTGGGTCTTGGGCTCGCCCAGAGCGCACGGGGCGGCGGGCGCCGGGGCGCCGGCTTCGAGGCTGGGCGCGCAGTCCGCGGCGGCGGGCGCTTTGGGTGGGTTCCCCCGAGGCGCGCCGGCGGCGAAGCGGTCGCTCACGGCTCGCTCCAGCCGTTCCCGAGCCGAGAAGCCGCTCCACATGCAGTCGCGGCGGATGATGGAGGCGTAGTTCCTGCCCCAGGCTTTGCAGTGGCCCCGGGGTTCCGCCTCGTCCCCGGCACCCCCTCCGGGCCACGGCTCCGGGGGACCGATTCCAGGGGCCGGGTCTCCGGCGCCGGCACCCGAGCCCCAGGGCGGCGACGTGGGGGGCGACGGCACCAGCTCGAATTTCTTCCAGATGTCCTCGCTGGGCGCCGTGGAGCGGTAGAAATCCTCCCCGCATTCATAGTCGTAGAAATAGTGCTGGTACGAGTCGAAGTCCATGTCCGTTCCCTGCGGGAGGGAGAGGGAACGGGCAAGCCTCGGGGGCGGGCTCGGGGAGGCAGGCGGCCCCGGGGTCCCCCGGCCCGGCCGGGCGCTGCGATCTCGACCCTCCCCGGCCGCCCGGCTCGGAGCCCGCGCCCTGCGCTCGCGTCTGTCTGCGGGAGCCCGACCCCGGGTCAGCGCGGCCCGGGAAGTGGCTCACCGAGCGCCGACTGGGCTGCGGGGAGCGAGTTCAAAGCAAACTTTGCCAGCGCCGCCCGGAGCGCAGCTCCCGGGGCCTGGCCGGGCCCGGCGGGGGCGCGCTGTGCCCAGAAGGCAGCCTGCCGTCCGTCCCCCGGGGACCCGCGCCCGTCCCCCGGCCGCCGGCAGCCTCACCTCGCTCTGGCCGCCCGCCACCTGGAGCGGTCCGGCTCCCCGCGGGCTCGGGGCAGCCCGGCCGCCCGCACACAGGCACATGCGCGCCGCCGAGCGCGCGCCCCGCACTCAGGAGCGCGCCCCGCCCGCGCGCGCGCCCCCCTTCGCTCGCGCACGGCGGCCCGGACGCTCCCGGGATCGGCGCGGGCGCGCGAGATGCAGGCGCATTGTTTCCCGGCCGCCTTATATCTCGTCCCGCGCCCGGGGGTCCGGGGCTGGGGGCGGGCCCTGCGGGACAAGCCCCGCCCCGCCCCGCCCCCTCCCGGCCGCCGACAGGTGGGGGCGACGGCGTCCCCGCCTCACCTCTCGGAGCTGCTCGCCTGCTCCGTTGCAGCCCTTCGGTTTCCCTCCGAATCAATTGCACGCCGGAGGACGCCGGGCAGGCGGCGAGCTGCTGCAGCCCGGCGGGTCCTGGCGGGGGCGCGACTCTTGAGCGAGGCCCCGACAGTCCCCCGCGGGCGCGACCGAAGCCGCGCCCCCAAGCCCGCTCTGGGCCGGGGCTCAGGGCGACTCCCCTGACCCGCCCCAAGAGTCTACTTCCCGGGGCTCGCCCGCCGAGTTCAGGTGCGTCGGCCCGGGTGCGGGAGCCGGGGGACGGGCGCACCTCCGCCGCGCCACCTGGCGGCGCCGAGCCCTGCGTGGAGGCCGGGCCAGGGCTCCCCTTCGGCACCGTTAGCTGGTTTCTGCAGCGTGGTGGGCCAATCCCGAGCGGCAGAGGAGGCCAGATTCAGGAACCCGAGCGTGGAACTTACCCACGACGAGCCCCGCAGTCTCATCTGTAAAAGCAAGGGACGGTGATATAAAAGCAATCACGGGATCGTTGCCGGGAATTAAGAGCAAGGAGCTAGGTCTGGAAGATGATGAGCTGCACAGGCAGCCCCTGGCGTGGATGTTTAGGTTAGGAGACCTTTTATTCTGGGGCCAGGTCGGGACGCACACTCCCCCCCCCCCCCCACACACACACAGTTTAGGTTTAAAAATATTTGTTTTGAGACTGGAGAGAGAGTATAGTGGGTAGGGCGCTTGCCTTGCATACATCCGACCGGGTTTTGATCCCCGGTGGTGTCCCACAGAGTCGCTCCCCTGAGCACCGGGAGGAGTAGTTTCTGAGCCAGGAGGAATCTGTGAACATCGCCGGATCTGGCCTCCACAACAAAAACAAAAACAAAACAAAGAAGTGAAAGAAAATAAGGGCCGGAGAGATAGGACAGCAGGTAAGGTGACCCAGGTTCATCGTGGGCATCCCAAACGTTTCCGGGTTCCTTGTGGGCACTCTAAATGGTTCCCGGGTTCGATAGTCAGCATCCCGTATGGTACCCCGGGCATTCAAGGAGTAATTCCTGAATGCAGAGCCAGGAGTAATACCTAAACATCCCTGGGGGTGACCCACAAACAAACCCAAAATTTTAAAAATAAAATGTTTTTTGGGGGGACCACATTTGGTAGTGCATAGGGCGTACTCCTGTCTTTATGCACGGGGATCACTCCTGATCAGGGCTCAGGGGGTCATATCTGGGTCTTATCCCTTAACTCTCTTTCCAGCTCTGGGACTGTGTGTGTGTGTCTTTCTGAGTCACAGCAGGTGCTCAGGGCGTACTCCTGACTGCATTGCTTAGAGATCTCTCCCGGAGGAAGCTTAGGGGACCATATGTAGTGCTAGGAATGAACCCCAGCCAATCCCTGTGCTGGGAAAGATCCTTACCCACTGAGCTATCTCTCTGGGACCTGTAAGAGCTCTTTTGGAAAAGAGGGAAAGAATAGGGACTTGGAGTTCAAAAAATTTAACTCTTTGAGCTTTGCAATGCTAGTTGTGGGGTCAAGCCACCTGAAACTCCTGCTTACTTATCCTACAAGAGGCACCGTTGCCTGCATCTGCAATTCTGGCCACATGACAGAGGCTGTAGTCTTTGCATTGTCTTCTGTGAAGATAACTTGTGTGGATGAGAAAAAGTTAAATTACACAGGCATTTTGTTTAGGTCAAAACAAAAGTAAACTGGGATGTCAGCATTACGTCTAGAATGTTCTTGGCATTCAAGGTCTGAATCCTGCCTTAGCCTCAATGCCTGCTGTTTTTTTTTTTTTCTCCCACCCCTGTGGTTTAGGAACAAACCATTCACTGTTGCCATCCCAGGAGAAGGAATTGTGATGTGCAAGCAGCTGGGTGTGGCTGGAGCATGGGACTCGACTGTGAGTTTAGATGGAACAGGAGAACATGACACCTTCAGTTTTTAGTATGTTGTGTCTGCAGTGCCTGTGGGACATCTTTAAAGGCAGAACTAGCGGTTTTGTTTCGGGCCACACCTGGCACTGTTCTGGGATTACTCCTAGTTCCTGGGTCAGGGATCCCACTGTGTTCAGGGACCATATGAAGTGCTAGAGATCGAACCTGGGACAACTGCCTACAAGGCAAAGACTCTTCCCGCCGAACTATCGCTCTGGTCCCTCAGCTCTTACTGACTTTGTACCCCTAGTACCTAGACACTTCTGATAGGTTTCTAGATTTAAACTTAACCAGCAAACCAGATCCTAATGATTTGGGTTTTTTATAGTGTTTGGGCCACACCCGGCTGTGCTTTGGGCTGTGTCTTGGCTCTGTGCTCAGGGATCACTCTCAGCGATGCTCAGAGGATCATATGGGATGTCAGGAATTGAACCTGGGTTGGCAGCATGTAAGACAAGTACTTCACCTGATGATGTACTACCATTCTGGCCCAAATATTTATTTATTTTTGCTTGTTTTTAGGACATACTTGGTAATGCTCAGGGGTTACTCCTGGCTATGCATTAAGGAATTACTCCTGTCAGTGCTGGGGACCATTTCGGATACTTGGGACCAAACCTGATTTGGCCACATGCAAGGCAGTTGCCCTCCCCACTGTACTATCTCTTCAGCCCCCCAGACACTAATGAGATAACCTATGTACACCACTTTGTGCCAGGGATGTGACACGTACTTAATGTGAGACCCTGGGTTCAGTCCTTGACACTGCAAAAAGAGAGAAAAAAAGAAAAAACAAAAGCAAAAGAAAGATCCCATGGGACCAGAGATACAGTACTAGAGTTAAGTATAGCCTTGCCTATGGCCAACCCCAATTAGATTTCTGGCATCACATAGTCATGCAAGCACTATCTGATCCTCCAGTACTGCTAAGTTTAGCTCAAGGCCCCCAAGCACTGCTGGGGTGCCCCAGATAATCTCTGACACGTAGGGCCTGAGTAACATTGCATCCTCTGCATCCTCTAGTCCTTGCATTAAATCACCAATTCCCATGAACCTCTGAGCACTGCTTGGGAGGCAAAAAAAAAAAAAAGAAAAGGAAGAACTAAGGTTAAGATTAAGTTGTCCATAGGGCCATAGGGCCAGAGATATGGTGCCACACATGGCTTCCCAAGTACTGTTAGGAGTCTCTCGTGAGCACAGAGCCAGGAATAGCCCCTAAGCACTTGCTTGAATAGTTCCTGCCCCCGCCCTCATATAGGTTAAGTTGTCTTCTCAGATTTAGGTTTCCCCTTCACAGTTTTGATTTTGGTTTTTGGGCCACACCCAGTGGTGCTCAGGGCTTACTTCCAGCATGGTGCTCAGGAGTCCCTCTTAGCAGTACTCTGGGGACCAGGTAGTTTTGGGGATCAAATATGGGCCTTCTGCATTAGGAGCAGTACTGCATCCTCAGTTGCCCCAAGGGCCCCTTTAGCACCTTTAGGAGAGACACCCCCCCCCAAAAAAAAGAAACAAACTCCGAACTCCAGTATGTAAAATCACTTAATCACTTAACTTCCCGTTAATCGTCGATTTGCTTGAGCGGGCGTCAGTAACGTCTCCACTTGTCCCTGTCGCGTGCCAGTGTAGCCCAATGGCATCTGTTCACTCTAGGAACATGAAGAGCTTCAAACCGATCGTTCATGATCTTGATGAAGAAGTCTGACCATCTGGTAGGTGGGCGGCCACGCGGTCTTTTGACATCCCGTGGAATCCAGTCGGCAACAGCTCTAGTCCAGCGGTTGTCTTTAAATCTCATTATGTGACCAGCCCATCTGATTTTTGACACCTTGGCAAATGAGACAGCGTCCCTGATTCTTGATCGTCGACGGATGTCAGAACTCCGGATTCTTTCTCTCATTTGAGTGAAACGCGATATTCCAAGCATAGCTCTTTCAGTTCTTCTTTGGGAGACCTGAATAGCGTTCTCATCCTGTTTGCGTAGGGCCCAGGTCTCTGAGGCGTATGTTAATGCAGGAAGAACAGTGGAATCAAAGAGATGTGCCCGGAGCCGGAGGTTCTTCGTCCTCTGTCCTCTTAGCTATTTCTTCGACGCTCTTGAAGGCGTTCCAAGCCGCTCTCTTCCTCCTGCGCAGCTCGGGTGCCAGGTCATTTGTCATGTTGACTTCTCGACCTAGGTACACATAGCTGTTGCATTCGGAGATGGTCGTTCTGTTGAGAGTGAAAGGGGAGTCAGGAACGAGGCTGTTTCTCATAAACATTGTCTTCGTAAGATTCAGCTGTAGTCCGACCTTTCCATATTCACGGTCAAAGTCGGCCAGCATTTGTGCCGCTTGGCTGATGTTTGGTGTTATTAGAACGATGTCATCAGCAAAGCAGAGGTGGTGTAGTTGCCGACCATCTATCTTCACTCCCATGCTTTCCCATTCCAGTCGTCGCATGATGTTCTCGAGGGTGGCACTGAAGAGTTTTGGTGAAATGGTATCACCCTGCCGAACCCCTCTCTTGATATGGATGATTACTTCTTTGTAGAATGGTGAGATCCTGGTAGTGAATCCGCAATACAGCTCACGGAGGATTCTGATGTATTGGGCTTGAATGCCCTGATTGGCTAGGGTTTCCATGACCGCTTCCGTCTCAACAGAATCAAAGGCCTTCTTTAAATCAATGAACGTTAGACAGAGCGGCATCTTGAACTCCCGAGAAACCTCAATGAGCTTGGTTACATGTAAAATATGTAATAAAACTGTCTCCCCAGCCCCACCTTTCACACTTCTGTTTAAAATTGTTTATTATCTGTTGCTCATCAGACAGCAAGCTCACGGAGGGCAGGAACAGATGTCTGCCTTGTTGACCACTGCAAAGGCAGAGGCAGGAACAGCACACCGCTTTGTAAGAGTGTTACCTATTTGACTAGATACAAACCTCTACTGTTATTGT